AGTTATGTTCATTCTGTAATCTGATAAGAAATAGAGTGAGCCTCTAATAAAAGAGTAATGAGAGTCCTTAATGATGCTGTTAAAAGGTAGCGCCAGTTAAAATATTGCTGTTGTTCCAGCTGATTAGATCACTGTTGCATATTTGCACAATCTTGTTTTACCTGTCAGAATAACCTGAGTCGTCCTGGGAGATAAAGGTGTTTGGACCAAACATCTGTGTCCTTAAAGAACATCTCTCCTGCAAGTTACTGTCCTCCAGAGGTGAAATAATGATGTTCACCAAACTTTGCAGTAATTTGATATTATACTTTTGTTTTTAAAGTGTCTGTGTTTAGTCGCTGCAGAGATCTGAAGCTCTATATATCAAAGCTGACAGAGAGATACAACAAAACCGAAAATCCACACACAGCTCTTCCCAGGAACTCAAACGTTACCTGACCTTGCCACAACCAGCCTGTTTAGAGCATCCACTCCTGCCGATACGGCAGCTCCGCACATCCTGAAAATACGCTCGCTCGCCCACCAGCCTTCCACAGGGATCCGTGCCATCACGCTGCTCACGAAGAAATAAATCTACACCGCGTGGGAGCTTTCTGTGAGGGTGCAGATGCCTGATCTCCCAGAACTATGAGGCTGAAAGCGACCGTTCGAACTACAGCTCCAGCCCAGAGCTGCTGTGTCCCCTCAGGCAAGTCACTGAGGCTCGTGACTCGTGCAATTCTGGACCCAAACGCCTTCGGAGAAGATACAGGCTGTCACTTCCCTGCGCCTCGTTTCCCAAAGCGTAAACCAGAGAAGACGGGCATCTTCCCAACCCTGTGGCACACGGCGGTACCCAAGAACGACTGTATTAAAGATTATGTTACGCTCCATTCTGGAGCAATGGGATTGGCGAAGTACCTGAGGTCATAAAGATGGGAAAGTCCATGAAGCGGCACCATGTGATGCCACCCTTAAGCCCAGGCAAAAATCACAACCAAGGACATCAACCCTGTTCCAATCCTGGGTAGTTTCTGCTCAGGACAGGCACCCTCCCCTCTGGACAACCCCCACGGCACACGTACATTCAAGCTTTTACCTCCAGGTTCCCTGTTTCAGGGCGGGCCCATTTCCACAGCAATGACCTCAGACCGATTAGAGCAACCTTGGCCCAAGAGCATAATAAATGTATTTAAGTCTATGAACATATAGCCCAAGATAACAAAAAAAAAAAAAAACACCACACTTTTCAGTGTATGTTTTAAAGCACTACTAAAGAAGGGTTAAAACAGAGAAGGGCTCGAGGCCACCGGTGTCCCCCAGGTTACAACATAATATATGTGAGCACAAGGTTAAACAGCCATGCCCATGTGTAGGGTGCATGAAAAACTGGCAAGTGGAAGATTAATTGCCTGCATGAGCGCTATTATTCTAACCAGCAGCAAGACTAAGAAAGAAAGTGGCAGTGATGGTGACAAAGGTAGTTATTATACTTGGATGTTCCTTCTCTCAACTTCAGGCTGTAAAATAATTCTAGAGCGACCACTCATCCCTTCTCCAAGCAGCGCTCGGGCTGTGGCTCCTCACAGGCATCCGCTCTTTGTCTCCCCAGCCAGCGGCGGCGGCAAGTGACAAACTTGCTGTGCCAGATCCCCACAAGTCCTGGGCATCCACCGGGACCTTCGGGTGAGTGCCAGCAGCTCCCCAGGCTATTCTGAAGTCTCTCTGCACAGCCATAAGTGTAAAATGTACAGGAGGATGAGGCCCCACCTGTACTCCTGGGCTGCACGAGCTTTTTAAATATAGAGAAAACCACAAGGGATTGATTGCAGTGATACAAAGACTCGTGCTTTCAAAAGCACTTTAAGCCAGACAAGAGGTGCAAACAACTGCCCTCTGCTCCTGCCCCAGCGAAAACAGGCTTGTGCAGCTCATCATGGGCAGTCAGGCCTTGGCATGGCCAAGGAAGAATCAGAACCACTCCACTGCTCGCACCTGCTGCCACCCCCCCAAGCTTCTGCTCGTCCACATCTGCACACACGCACTTATTTACCAGCTATGATTTCCAAATAAATGACTGACAGCAGCAGGTATCTTCTTTTTGGGAGAGTTGGATCAAAACACCTACAGAAGCCTAATTTTCAGACTCTAGTCACGCCAATATTTTGAGTATGTTTTATGTCTGAATGCAAACGTAAATAGTGTAAACTAGGGAGGAAAGGAAGGAAGCAAGCTAAGCTAAATAACAGCCAGGTTTGCAGCCGGCAAAGCAAAAAATGCCCACCCAAACGTGGAAGGGCTGCTGCAAAGGGGAAACAAGAATCTGTTCCATGCTGAACAGGACAAGAAATGACGGGCCTAAATCACAGCAGAGGGAAATTGAAGCTCGACATTAGGACTAAAAAATGGCAAAGCACATCCCACGGGGAGGAAGCTGCAGAGAAAACTGCTTAAGGAAGACTGTAGTAGTGCCTGCAACAGGCAGAGGTAAGGCATATTTCAATATATTACTACTATTACTAGACCACTGGTTTTTACAGGCACTTCTCTGTAGCACAGAAGGAGAATCACGAGTCACAGAGCGACCCGCTCAAGGTCACAGAACCTCGCAGCCTGATGCCAGCATCGCCCCATCCACAGCCAGGGTTTGCCTGGAAGCCTGATCTGCGCAGAACGCGACACGGCCGCCCGCACGACATGGCCCTCGGGCACGCTTGCTGGGGTGTGAACCCATCAGCCGACGGCCTCTCTCCAGGCAGCCAGACCAACACGGGGAGATAAGCTACCAAAATGTCATTACCAGGAAGCATGGCAGGCCTCCAAAGCGCCTAATAAACTTAATGTAAGAAATAAGTTCCCGCAGTCACACAACAAGCGGCAGCAGCTGCCGCCACCAAAGCCTCAGTAAAACATGCAAGCGAGGCAATAAGCCGCTCGACGTGGAGCAAACCCCCAGGAGACATTTTCGGGGAACCAAATGTCAAACGCTCTGTCCTTACCACCGTGACAACTGTGCCGACACAGCACACGGCAGACAGCATCCCACGAGCTGTAACAGCTTCCAAGGGTCAGCCAGATCCCGGGCTGGCTGTGGGGGACTCCAGGTGCCTCCTGAGGAGCAAGAGGAGTGAGGGGTATGAAGGTGGCGGCCAGATGGAGCAGAGATGGGGCCCAAGAAGGCTGTTGGGCAGAATGACTCCACCATCCCGGCTGTTTCGATGCACTTCACGTTTGCGTTGACTTGCTGGAGGATTTTGGCTCATAAAATGCATTTTCAATGCAACTTTTAGGACACAAGTGAGTGCGGTGGACTGTGAAGGAGGAAGCGATGTCACCTCTGGGGACAGTAAACTTCATATGATAACTCCTAAATTATCGGGATCAGTCTCGCTGGTTTTTTCTTCATCTTTCTCCCCCTTACACACACTTCACACAAGCTGAGATTGCCTTCAGCCCAGGGACACAGCAGGGCTCTGTACGGCTGCCTCACCTGTAGGACGGTGCAACGTGTAGCGTACACAAAAAATGACAGACACCCTAACCCCACGTGAAATTCTCAAAACATAACTAGTAACCAGTCAACTGGACATAATATTAAGATGGAGAAATACCTGAGTCATGCATATTTTTAATAAATATGGTACAAACTGGTTCCTCCTATACACACATGCTATCTGTTAATTATAATCAGACAAAAAAAATGTGAGCAACAAGCAACACATCCCAGAACCATTTCTCAGGGTGGAATGTCTACCAGGAACGCACACCTATCCTGCCCCAAGTTTTATCTGAGATATCTGAAACAGCAAAGACACCAACTGCATACAGGTAGGGAGGTTCTTGCCAGCTGAGAAGAACAGATAGCTGCTAGCTCAGGCCCTCCATATCAGAAACAAAAATGCACTTGCTTTATTTGCCGGATAGACAAAAGTGTGTATGTCTCATCTCACAGCACCCAAGCCACTTCTGTCCCTGTCCTCCCATGATCCAGGTAAGGGAGTGGAAAAACTGACCTCTTTATCTGGCTGGAGGCACAGCTTCACCCTACACATTTATTTTTGTGGAGAGAGGATCTTGACAAGATTCAGAAAACAGAGCGGTTTTCTGACTCGGAAAAAAACAAACTAAAAGAGTAAAGAGTAAAGAAACTATGAGAAAGGCGCATGATGAGGCAGCACGGGTCTTACTACAGACACAAAACATCTTAGTGCCAGCTTACGGGAGAGCTCTCATCCAGAAGCCTGTGCAATACCCTAAAAGGCAGCAAGAGCCTAAGAACAGCAGGTATTTGGTTTCCATTTCGCAAACAGACAAATGACACGTCTCTCTCACAAAGCACAAACATGTTCCACAACCCAGGGGAAAGATGTTTCTCAAGCTTTCTACATCCATTCACTGGAAAAAATTATTCCACCGCCTTCACGCAGAAAGCTCAGCATTTCAAGACTCAGTTTAAAAATGTAGTACTTACGAAACGTGGGTGTGTATGTACAAACACTATCTAGTTACTATGCACAAGACTTGATATTTTCTTTATTAATTAGCACGTTACAACGTTATAGTCTTCCAATGAAATTCACTCTTTTAAACAGACATAAACACAAGCAAGATTTAGATCCTGAGTGAATCTTGACTGACCTAAGAAAAATCACACTAAACAGAATTTAAAACAGTTGCCATTTCTGTTCAAAAGCCAAGTTCTTTCTAAGTTTTGATTATACCTGAAGACAACAGGTAACTCAGCTGACTATTTCCAAAATAATTCTGTAAAACTGGAGCGGTTTTAAAGCAGGGATCAAAATGCACGTACCGAGATTTATGAAAATCTCGTTTGGTGTCGCAGTAATTACAGAGCGAAAGCTCAGCCAGACTGCCGGGACAGATGTGACCAAGACACCCAGGCTATGATGCCAGTGACAAATGGTTAACTGATAAGAAGAAACGGAGGGGGCGACAGGCTGAAGAACAGGTCAATATCACGCTGTCATGAAGCCATTTGAGAAACATAATTAATCTATTACTCACCTGGCATCATCATTCATTGTGCAGTGGTCAATAGGTGCCATGAAGCTCACCAGCTTGCTGTGGACATGATACCTGGACAGCACAGGAAATAAGCAGGCAGCACATTAGTAACTATTAATGAAAAGGAAATGTTGCCGCTTCGATAGAACCGCACCAGCTCCTGAAATGGAGAGCACTGGCTTTCCTGGGGACTGGTATCTAACGAGTCACCACTTGTAGCCAGCAATTCCCTCTCCCTTCCCTCCTCCATTCTTAGAGCATGGGCAGAAGAATAATGGGATGATGTAATGAAGCGAGTAACAAGCAAGCCCCTCTTTATCACAGCTGGAAGGAGGACAACCAGCACCTTTCCTTAATCGTGGGCGCTCCCAGACAGACAACCCTGAAAAGTCAGAGACAAACAAAAAGTCACTTTCAGCCTTCTGTTCAGCTCGTGTCTTAATCACCTTCTGGAATTTGTGCCCAAAGAGCCCACTGCAGGCAGCAGAAGCATCAGACCTTCTCAAGCATCCCATCTGCTACACTTTTTCCTTGCCCTGTGGTATCTAGAGCCCTAAAGGAGATCGAAATCCCACTCTGCTAGCCATATTCGTGGCTGGAAAGCCTTACCCCGAGTAACCCACAAACAGAGCACGTAAAAACAAGCAAAGGAGCAGACAGGAGAGAGAGCTGTGCAACAAAGAGATGGGGCACATTCAAGGTAACGCAGCGCTGCTTTTGTCTCAGCTTCACTAAAAATATTTCTGCAAGCTGTACGGCACCTCCAGATACACGATTCCTTTCCACCCCGGGCTAGGAACTTGCAGTAGATTTCATGACTCATGTTCAAGGACTTGACATAAGAGCAGTGAAAGACTTCAAATGAAAAGGTGGCTTTAAACCCTCGTGTCTAAGGGCAAGGGATTCCAAACCAATGGGTTTTGGTGTACGCTACCTCTGCTGCCTACCCAAGTCTGAAATGTTTCATCCAAGCTGCCGCTATTTTTAGAGCTTGACAAATAGCAGGCAAAAGGATTCACTCGCATTTGCCCAGAATCACCTTTCCACTCTGTAACCTCTGCACTCCCTTTTGTTTGCTTATGCAGGAACATTCCCTGGAGGGGATTTTTAGCTCCCACGACTGTTTCAGCGTGGCTCTTCAGGCACAGAACACTCACCCTTACACAAGGGTTTCTCTGCACAATCGAGTCTTTGTCACTGGTAATGGAAGTGACTGCCCCGGTGTAACGCCGCAATCATCCAGCCGGGCTAGTACCTCCACAAACAACAGGTCAATAGGCTGCGCTATGAAATACATCACTTATGAGACATTAACAGCTGCTGGATTCATACAGATCAAAGCTTACAGAGGGACAGTCTGCGTAGCGGCAAGGGAACTTAGCAATTCAGAAAAATTCTTTTGACACGAGTTGTTTGTCCGGAACTAATTACTGTTACAGTTTTTAAATCAGGATTTTACAACTCCTAGTCTAGCAGACATAAAAAATACTGAATTTCATTCACAGAAAGGCATCCCACGTCGCTGCAGCGCGGGACTAAAATCAGTGACGTGAAAAAGAGGCATGTGCACAACGTTCCTCCGTACCTACCTTGAGAAAAGGCACGTCCTAGCAAGGGGTAGCAGAGTTCTAGGCACCACGTTTCTTAAGCTCAGCTACAGAGTTTTTGGAGAAGCTCACCACTCCCTCTTTATGCCCCAATTTCCCTGCCTATGAAAGGGATGGGTACTCACTTCAAGTGGAAGACTGACTGCTTTTGAAAGCACTTGAAAATCTTCAGACTCCACAATAAACCAGCACTGAAGGTTTGCTAAAGGATTGCTAAAAAAAATGGAATATGGAGACGGATGAAACTTAGTAATAAATACCTTGCTTTCCAGGATCTTAAAGTCCTTCACAAAAACAAATCTAAGCACTGCTGCCCTGATTTCAGAGAAGGAAAAAGAAAAACAGGGGATAAGTGACCTGCTCAGGGTGATAACGAGTCTCTCATTGGAAGAACTAACTATTTAAAAAGACTCACTCGGACTCTCCCGGACTATTCAGAAAAGATGCTGGAGTTTAACTGCATGTTAATCCTAAACACAGACAATGCCACTTTTATTGACACGTTCCCTGTAGGGTCAGTGCAACTTTTATTTAAAGAAGAAGAAAAAAAAAAAAAGCATGTAAGATCTAGGAGGCAATTGGCTTGGCGAGACAGCCGATCTCTCAGGAATGCTGAAGCGCACAGATTGCGCACGATGAGCGACTTCCCATTATTCCTGGAGGTTTACGAGTCTGACTCAGTTGTGTGATGTTGTCAGTAGTTTTGACTGAATCATGAATATATCCAATTATGCGCGATGCTGACAGAAAAGAATATTGATAGTCAATAATTATAGGCTTTTCAGGCCAACAAAGTAGCTCTTCCCTCTTTTAATAAATTATCTTATGACATCTATCTTAAAAATTGCTATGCCAGGCCTGACCCAGGCTGACTCCACTGACTTTCTATCAGATGCCATCTAAACTCACGATTTATAGTTTACTCACAAAAGGATGGTTAATGTTGCAGATTTTTCAGGAAGCGGTGCAGCTTTTCAGCATGCCTCCCTGCCACAAACACCTCCTCCGCTACAAATCACGCAGTCATGCTAAACTCAGGGAGACTAATATATCTGCTCTGCAAAGAGGGGAAAAAAAAACCAACCACCCTGTTCTCTCCAGACTGCTTCCTTCTCCACCCTGCCACCGAATATTCACCCACTGGAAAAGCACGCGGAGAGATCAACCCAAGTGAGTGATCTGGGAGTCAGGATGAGAAATGTTCTGAAGCTAAAGAAAGCTGCGACAGGAGCTACAAAGAGAAAGAGAGATTAGACACCAAATTCCAGTTGGCTGCTGGTGGAACCAGACATCTACCTCACCGAGGCACTTCTGCACATCTGCCCCTAAAGCTGCTATCTATAGTTTTGCCAGCTAAACGTGTACTGCACAAGAGGTGTTCGTTTGCTTTCACTGGAAAACACGGCCTCAAGTTGCTCAGAGACAGCTTTGAAGCCCACTGAACACTCTTTCCAAAGCTGGTATGGGCAATGCTCACAGGCTGCATCCATCCATCCAGGCTCAAAAAACATTTAAGAATACCCAGCAGATGCCCCAGAGTAAGACACGTTGCCCTAAGAGGCACGAGTAAGCCCACCAATGCACCCCAGGGCCAATCCGCTGCAGTCAGGCTTTGCTGGGCAAAACCACAACTTCCATTTGCTCGCGGAAGCCGTCACCCACCTGATTCTCCTTCCTTTACTGGCTTTTCTGTCCACTTTCTTCTTTATTTTGCTTCGCAACTTCTGGATGGCCAGCCATTGCCTGAGGAACGCGAAACAACGACACAACTTTTAGAGCTGTTAGAAAAATGAGCACTGGGTACACTGGGGCCCGAAGCCCTTGTCAGCCCTTTTGCCTGTTGCATCGACACAGGCAAAAGAGATCAGAACTTCAGGAAAATAAGTATTAAACTCCAAGTGCCTGTGGTAATGCTTCACTTCAGGGATGGGGCATTTAAACAGCAAGCAGTTTTCCTGACTCATCAAGTCAAACCTTGGCTTCATCAAGTCAAAGAAGTTTTCAGCAGGGGAAAAACTTCTACTAGTTACAAATATAAATTTTTTTTTTTTTTTTTTTACAAAAACGAGCGTCATCTTACCTGATTTATACAATGAAAACTCAACATCAGGCAAAAAAATCTAGCGAAATCCAATTACTGCAATCTTAATATAATCTTAATTACTGTAATCTATTTTATTGTAAAGTCAGATAAATGTACAATGTAATCACTACTTAAATGTAATTTTGTCTGTATCATGTTAAATTATAGTGAATAGCTTTCCATAATATTCCAGACATAGACAACATAAATTTGACACACTGCACTAAAATTTGGGTAATATTTTACAGGGAGAAAAGTTATCACACTATCACAAAACTTCCTAACGCATTTTTCTCTCCGTCCCCACAGACATACCTCCCCCGACATTTTTTTCAGTGGAGAGCTCTACTCCCACATTTTCAGCTTTCCTCTGCTTGTGCACTTTTCTAAATTATTGCCCGTGGCTATTTAAATGTACACTGGTCATTAAGAAGTATTTGAGAGATTCTGTATTTTCTAACTATAGAATTAAACAGAGAAATAAGAACTTCCCTGCATGGAAGCCAAAACGGACTGGGAACGCAGTGCTGGGTGAAGCCAGTGAAGCTAGAGACAACTTCTCACGTACCTGCCCATTGCCACCTGGTCATTGGGGTCCAATGAAGTGGTTTTACGTTCTATATATTCTCGAAGGAGCTAGAAGAAAAGACAACAATCCCAATTAGAAGCACAGCAGAGACACGTTCATGCAATGAGGCTCGCAGGTTTCTCAGAAGACTTAAAAAAATTGCTGCCAAGTTCTCAAGGGAACAGTTCTGCCTCATTTCCTGAAACTCCCCAGAAAACCTCAAGCCAGGCACCAAGGCTTTTTAACACTTCCTCTGCACAAAAGAGCTTTCCAAGGGAAAAAGCCGGTGGCTATGCTAAAAGTTTAAGTAACTTTAGATTGTCACCCTCTTCCAAAAGGTCCCCACAGAATATGGGGCGTAAAACTGAAGGCCACCACGAAGAGTCTGTGTATGCAATTTCAGACGTATCTAGGAGCAGCACAGTCTTCCCTTCAAAGCATCGAGGTTTATTCAGGTGACACGTAGCACCACGTCATCCACCTGAAGAGAATCTACAGGGTTATGCAGAGCCAGAGAGGCGCAGTTTAGAGCAGCACCACGGTCTAAAAACACAAGAAGCCCCACGCAGGCAACACAAACTCAATCAGATCTGCAGTAAGAGCTCTGCCCCACAGGTCTTGCCCCACATTTCCAGTGGGGATGGCAGGAGGGAACTGAAACACCTCCCCGAACAGACGTGCCACCAGGCAGTAACGCTCGCTCGGAGGAACAGCGGAGCGAAATAGCTTTTATAGCTAAAGCAGGA